CCCCAACTGCACCCTGAAACACAGCTAAAGAGACAGACACACACTGTCTCCCTTCCCCTTACATGCTCTGGTCCCTTTAGGGAGAAACCCCGTGCACATGGGCTGGAAGGGAGCTGCAGCATGTTCTCGTTGATGCCTGCCCTGAGTGATCTGCAGATCAAGACCTTGTGTCATAGTGGCTGGTGGGCAGCCTCCACTCTGTTCAGACACAGCCAGTGTTAAACCAGTTGGGATCCAGATTTGAGCAAGGAACTATGCAAAAGCCCGAAGCCATTCTTTGCTGCTATTACTTGCTATCCCATGTTAGCCAGACTTTGAATCCAAGTAAAACTTTTGACTTTGCGGAAAGCTGGATATGGGTTTAAAACCTGTGCTTCTTTCCCACCCCTTCTTCTGAAGCTGAAGTGCCACAGCAGCCATGCTTTCTTCCATTTACAAAGAAATGGCTACACGGTGGATGCTGTGCTTAGACGCCACAGCACTGAAAAGCAGGTACCCATACCAATGTCAAACATGTCTTTTTTCCCAGCTTTATGCAAGTACCACGGAGCATGACACCTTTGCCAACAGCGTGCTTGCATTAAGAATCTCGAAGCAGCTCATGGCACTTGGTGTCCCTCAGGCCGCAATCAAGGGTGCCCCCTTATGGGCAGCGCACTGGCGGTGGGCACGCTGGTGGGCCAAGGCTGTAGCTGGAGATAGCATAATTAATGTGCATCCTAAGAAAAGGGAAGGCAGCAACAGGGAGATAACAAGCTTTTCCTCTTCACCCCACTCCCCTCAAGCAGACATTAAAATGATGGCTAAAGGACGGTTTCTTTATATTAGACTTGCAAGGACAGGAAGCATTATATTTGTTGTACCTAGACAAAAACATTGTACTACTACAGCAATCTCCGTAATGATTGCTATAAAGCTGTTCCCTATTTTGTTTTGCTGAGGAACTGATTAAACTGACAGAATAAAAAGTTCCAGTAAAACTTTTCAAGAAAAGAAGATTCTTTGCTAACTACGCTTCTGTGAACAAAATGTTTCTGGTATCGCTATAAATGTATATTCAACAAAACAATCATTTAACAAAACATTTGCAAGCAGCATGTAAATTAACTTACTTCCATTGTTCCTCTGTTGATAATAAATCATTTTCCTGAAACACATTCAAAACAAATATTATAACTTCACCGTGAGCAGCCAGATGGGTTTTCTTCTCTTAACCCTCACCACCCCTTCCGTCCTGTCAGTTGCCAGACAGGTTGGCAAGTTCCCTCTGCCCCTCTCACCTGGAAGCTCCTTAGAAACCATCAGCTATGCAGAGGATGGCGGTCACATAGTATCAATGGCTGCGATATACAATGGGTGCAGCTAACGTATTCTCTCGGGGTGACTGACCAACAGGGGGCTGTGGGGGTGATGTACTCTACGGACCTACAGTTATAGCGTAACTTTAGCCAAAAGGGACATTGGCAGTTGTCTGGACCAACCTTCAGTGCAGAATAAAACTAAGGACATCAGGCTGCTCAGGGCTCAGTCCAGCTGATGGGAATGGATGGAAATTTCACTGGCCCTCTGGACCTCCTACAGCAGTGAATTCTCTTTTTATTCTTCAGTACACGGGGACAAAATCACTGCAACAAAATTAGCAAGCTGAGGTTCAAATTAAATGTCTCCTAGGCTTAATCAAAAAGGTGTAGGTCTGATCTTTCAGCTACTCTAATTAGGCAGATGTACGGATACACCATAAAGCCTGTGGTATAGCTCACACAAAAATGGCTGAAAGGGGGAATTCGAGGGTATTGATTGAAGTCTAAAGGTAGTACTTCTGGTTCCAAACTGGTTTCTGTCAGAAAAGGTCATTATCAAAAATGGTGTTTAGTTCTTGTTTTTCCTTCAAAATCTTCCAATTCTCTAAATAAGTCTTTAAATTTTCTATAGAAATTATAAAACTCAAGGGGATATGTTTTTCAAATTTTTATGAGAGTTTGTTGTTTTTCAGTTGAAATGTCCATGTTTGGTGGTGGTGGTTGTTGTTGTTAATATAACTTGAAGTGTCAGGGTACCCCTTTATGTTGGCTTTTGCCGTGTACATCTTAGCCCTATGGGTGATGTGCCCTTGCATTTTGCTCTGCGTACTGAGAGATATGCTACAGTTTTACCATCTGCCTGAAGTAACTGTGTGGCACTTTGTACTTGTCTAAAGGAGAAACAGGGAATCTGAGTCACCATTCACTTGGGGCAAAATGTAGACTTTTAGAAGAATTTAAGTTCCGAATGATACAGCTGCACCTAGCAGAAACTTCAAACCCATCTAGAAGCCCAGCTGCCTCTCTGCTTTCTCGGGTTCTTTTTCCGTTTCTGTCAGCCACAGAGCAAGTGGCTCCTGATCTCTTGCCCTTGGAGGTCATGACGATCAAACTGAGGGAATAATGGGGGAAAAAAAGAAAAAGAAGAAAAAAAAAAAAGAAAAAAGTCTTCACTATACTTCTGCAGAGTCAGGTAAAGGAGTTGACATTCTAATCTTAGTCATCAAATACTGTAAAATGGAGACTTGCTTTTGTAGTTCATATGTATGCTAATGTACCTTTACAAAAGTACTGGACTAACCCATCTGCAAACTCTAATCTCATCAGAGCTGAATTAAATTGCAACAATTACGTTATGTAGCTCAAAGTAGAGATGCATTTCAATCCACACTGCATTATTTATTTGTTTACCAGCTAGGAAGTAACTGAGAATTTTCAGATTCTGAAAACGCATTCATATCTTGCTAATCAAACCTGATATCTGTTGTTACTATGCAATAAAACTGGAAATACACTTGGGATAGTTTAGATCTCACTTCTCTCAACATTGTAGGTGGTAACATTTTGACTCTGTAGCAAGCTGAGGACCAGTTAAGAGGAAGGCTACTGGGCCTTAAAAATAAAACTAGTTTTATTTCAAAGACAGTGGACCATTCGCTAGTATTTTATCATATTCTATTAGTATACCTCTTTCCAACTTACTAAAGTGAAGAACTTGTGCAAAATACTGATTTTTTTGTTGTTGTTGCTGGTTTTACTTTTTTCCCCAACGCATACTGATAATGACACCTTTTCTTTAAGTATCAGCCTACCTGTGCCAGAGTTTGGATTTGGCAGTGGTTAAAAAATGGAAACAAAATTACAGCCCATGCAGTATTTTTAGCTTTATTTTGGATACTGCACAGCCAAATGAATCCTTGCATCTCCAGACTTCCCTTATTAACCTCCGATTGCTCTCCTTCTCCCCTACGGTGGTGGCAATGGCTTGGTGATGACAGCTGCCCTGTACTAGGTGGCTGTGCCACACAAGGCAAAGACCAGGACAGCAGGTGGAGGCTTGTCACAAGGCAGCTAGGATGGGCTTTCTCCATAGGGTGAAGAACTGGACAGGAGAGATTAAGTAAAGTACCGTGAGATGCTGCTACCTGGGTGCTGCAGTTCATGGTGCAGGGGTTGGGAAAATGAAGAACAAAAGTAGTGTATACATGGAGAAATACAATGCTTAGGGGCAAGTACTGCACAGTGCTGTGTGTGCAGCAGTGGGTGTAGTAACACCGAGGAACCCTGGCCGTGAAGGTTGGGTACGCAACGTAGGGGAGAGCATTGGGGGCTGCTGTGTGGCATCGGAGCAAGGGAGAGTTATCGTGAGTGCTGGCAACGGGGAGAGGACAGCAAAGCCCTGTTTTAGCATGTAGACAAAGGTATATGAAAGTTTTATTTGGCCCCCAGGAAAAACACAATTAAAGGTTTCAGATCCAGCTAGGGACTGCAGCATCAGCATGTAACGGATGATCAGTGAATGTATGGCGGTGGGCATGATCTTGCCCTTGCCAGCGTCCCCTCAGTAGTGGCAAACAGTGACCTGGCAAGAAAGTATTTGCTATAAATGCAAAACGCCTGTCTAAACACAGCGTTGGTCAGCAGCAGACAGGGATAAAGCCTAGATGCCACTTGTTCAGTCAGGGCTTCCCTTCTGGCTGCTGGGTAAAAAGTACTTGCTAATGAGGTGTAAACTCACGATCCACCAAAAACTGTACAAAACTGGGCAAGAAAATAATACTGGCTTAAAAGGATGGCTTTTATGTGAGTAGAAGGACTATTTTCTTGTCACAGTCCAGGTAAATCCTGATTTATTTACACTGGGGTGAAATACAAGCTTCAGAGCAGCCAAGCTGCTCTGACATGCATTTTAATTTCCTCAGTTGGATTACTGAGAGTTCTGTTGTTTATGTTTTTGGGTTCTTTTTTAAATCTTGAAAAAAAAGCAATTTCTCTAAATACTTTTATCATTATCACTGATCTCATCTTTATTGCAGTGCTGTACTAACTTTCCAGAGTTTATTGTCTTGTTTTAAAGTGATGGCAAGGTTGTTGGGGGAAGGCCCATGTATACTTTTTTATGCTTTAGCCACTATGCACCCAAAAATTGTGCCTGGGCTTTTTCCATACTACTGCACTCCTAATGAAGAGCAATTATGATTAATGCATAATGTTGTACCCAGAGCTACCGTCTCACCCTGTGCCAGCTGTTGTAAAATGCCGCAAAAGCTGTATGTAGGAGGGCAGGGGAAGGTTGAAAGTTTCTTGATGGCTCCATTTTTCCAAGAGGGAAGGAAAAACGCATAGAGGTGAAGGAGGGCCGGACAGCCTCGCTCTCCAGGAGTGGTTGGGCAGGTGGAGGGGTGCCAGACCTCACTGAGCTGGGCCAGGAGAGGCGGGCGACACCAAGCCAGTGGGCTGGGAAGCACGAATGCCCCCGTATTTTGGAGCAGGAGTGCTGGGTTTAGGGGTGGGTTTCTCTCTGCCCCATCCTGTGGAGGCCTGGGGAGTGCCTGGCCTGCTGCTGAGGTCCCTGCTCCGTGGCAGCCTGCGGGCAATGGGGCTGAATGTGCGGCTCCTCCTCGCACGACCACCACATGCACCTCTTACACACACCCCTCTATGCGGACACACACATGGCTACAGCCAGACACCCCTCACCGCAGCCCTCTTCAGCTGCCCGATTTCCTTTTCCTCCTCTTCTCGCCAGCCCTGCTGCTGGGCCTCCGGGACCCACACCACTGCCATGCTGGCAACTGTGCCCCCAGCTGCGGGCGGGAAGGAGGGTGCCACCTCCAGGTGCCTGTCCAAGCCCACAGCCCCTCAACAGCAGCACTGGAGGGTGGCCATTTGGTGGTGGTGCAGTGAGGGGCACACAAGGCCCCAGGATGCCAGTGCTGGGGCGGGAGGGTGCCAGGGCCAGCTCGGCTTTGCCCACACGTCCTCGTTCCCCCAGCCCGCATCACAAAAGCCTTATACAAAGTGTCTGGGGTTTTTCTTGCTCCGAGGTTTTGTGGCATCACTGTCACCAGCCCAGGGCTGAGCAGTAGCATGGCTTCGGGACGCCCTTGGGAGCCGACAAGGCAGCGCCTTGCTCCATCCACCCAATGCTTGGCTGGGTGCCTGCAGCCCATACCATCACCATTGGCCTCTCCCACCTCCACTACCCATTTTAAACCCAAGAGAGGACATATGTGTCTTCATTAAATACTCGCACTGTTGTATTGCTTTGTGCGCTGGACAAGCGGCTGTGGGGAAGTGGCCTGTTCGAGATCCCTCGAGCAGACTGCTCGAAGCATCCCAAGGTGGCAGCTGATCAAACTTTATCATTGTTTGTTGGTGCCAGATAATTACTTAATTTTGCTTTCTGATGCACGAGACACCAAAATGGAGGTGGTGTGTGCTCTGCTGGCCCTTTCCAAGTCTGTTATTGAGGATCCCAAAGAGACGGCCACCCATGCAAGTCCCGAACGGCCATGAAGTGCTTCATTCCTGAGTGGCAAGGTGCTGAGGGTTTGTACATGGTCCTTTGCTTTTTGTATGGCGTGGGAGGAGGTGTTTGGTGTGTCTCTGTTGTATGGAGGGAGACATACTAGTAGTTAGTTAGTACATGGTCACACATAGCAGACATCAGTCCTCCTGTGAAGGGAAGCAGGGGCTGACCCTCGCCCTGCAGGAACCCAAGGGTGGCCAGGCTCTGCATGGGTATGGAGCAGCATGGGGCTGCTGGGGTTTGCAACTGAGAGCTGGTCAGGTATGGCGGCTTCACAAGCTGCTCCCTGCCAGCTGGGTGACTCTCCAGCTGGAACCTCCTGCCAGCCAGAGCAGTGCAGCCTGTGCCACAAAATTCTCCCTGTGTACAGCCCCTAGTACGTGCATGAATAAATTCTGCAGTAATATAGTTAATTAGTATCAGCCACTGGTGGGAAGGAAAGGCCTTACCTGGGGAGGATAGTGGGATGGGGGTATATTTCCCTATGAGCACATACATTTTTTTATTTACAAAAATAATAGTGGGTTTCATGTCATAATTTTATGCTGTTTTGTTGTATAGTTTCCATACTGGCCATTTAACCCAGGATATGCTGCAAAACCTGCACAATAAGCTAAAAACTGTTCTGTTATAATAGTAGCTTTATCTTTCCAAGGGCTCTTTAAAATGCAACAGCAAGATCTCTTTTGGTGAAAGTTGGAAGGCTAAAGTGCATTTACCTGTGACAAAGCAGAAATATTCAAGGGAAAATGTGTATGTATTTTTATCCTACTTTTCCCCTTTGTTTCTTCTGTGTTTTAAAAAGCAGCCGAAATGAGACTAGGCAACAGAGGAATGTTTCTGCATAAAAATAGTGCCCACATTCAGTACGCACACACTGTACCTTTATAACACTTATCAAACAAGAGTCTCACAGCACTTGGCAGAAATCTAATCAAAGCCAAGGAGCTGTGTAAGATAGTGTAAACTGAATCATAGCTATTTAAATGACATGTGCAATTAACATTTGGGGCCCTGTTTTTCCATCTCAATCTCTTGACAACCAGACAGCCCTGTCAGTTGTTAACTTTACCCCCTCATTCAACAGAATGCAACAAACACTTTAAATTTAATTCTTTGAGCTCCCCCCTAAAGACTGCTTTACTGGATTCGTCTATGTTTTTATAAACTTGATATACTTAAAAGTCCTGCTTTGGCCTTAGAAGGAAACAACTCTTTCTGGCTGACTAGGCTGGATTCTGGGACTCCTGGGAAGCAAAAAATAAAGGATTTTTTTTTTTTTTTTTCCTTCTTGGAACTTTTGTGGGAATGTCAGAATGGCTGAAGCTCCGGAGCAGTTAATTTTGGCAAATTCTCAATGCAATAACTACAATACAATGCTGTACTTGAAAGGAAAACCCATTAGGAAAATAATAGTAACTGGTATACTTTTTTACATCTCATGATGCACGCAATTTACCAAGAAAGTAAAATAACATAAAAATATTCATTGGATACATTTATGATCAAAGAATAAAGCAATATGGATAAAGCAAGATGGATATCAGCTGGTTTCACTGTAAGCTTAAGTCACTGAAAATTGTTCCCCTACACAGGCAATAAAATTTTGTTTTTCTAACTGCCCCGTAAAATGCAAAAATGGGACCTCTTCTTGCAGAAGTTGAAAAGCTATTGCTTTTAGTTGTCATTTGCACTGGTTAAAATTAAAAGTGCAAATTTCTATGCACAGAAACATGCACGCACACAATGTGCTCTGTGCATTGTCTATTTTATGTCCAGCCTCTGGATATTGTCAGATAAAATAAGAACATTTTTATTTTGTGAAGGAGGTGCTTTTAAAAAGCAGCAAAGCACACCAGACAAGGGAGAAATAGTAAGTTAATTTGCTGTAAAGCAGGACATGGAAATGTGTTTCTCCTCATATCTGCAAAAGTTAGTGAAGCAAATCTCTTTACTTCAAATAATGAAAATCCAAGAGCCAGTCCCCCTGTTCCCCCCATGATGTGACTGGTTTAGGAATAGAAAATTTTCTGCAATAACAATACAATTCGTCTTAGTTGCTTTTAGTTTTTTAGCTATTAGGGTTCTCTTTTTCCTTTTTTTTTTTTTTTTTCTGAAAAAGGAAGTCTAAAAACGCGTATTTTGTAAAATGAAAACAGTGAGACCTTTATCATCCCAGGACCCCAGAATTCAGGCACCAATAAAACGTTTTGAAAGACTGTCAGTGGACTCTTGCTAAAGGCAACACATGTAGACCTGTCTTACACAACAGCAAATCTGGCACCTGTCCCTCTGTAGAACTGGGAAATAATTATCATAGAGAAGCAACATTAGTTTTGCCTCCGGTGGTGTTTATGTTGTCTAAGGCATCACCACTTCGGAAAATAGTAGCAGAGAGCGTGAGAGTTCTGGGAAGGCATGGCCAGTGGGAGTGGAATGCCATGCAATTGCAAACTGAAAATCTGGCAACCGAAGTAGCGTGGCGCTAGCTTGCAGGAAAGCTCAGAAAGTGGTAGGACAGCAGAGAGCAGGAGAGGAAGCTGGAGCAGGGTAAAGTGGTGCTGCGCTAAACAAAGTAGATAACACAACTGGGGGATAAAGGGTGTACTCCAGTCAGAATACAGCAAAGGAATGAGCGATACGCATGTACCCTTGCTAGAGCTGCTCTCCTGTGCAGGAAGTCTGTGAACGGCGCAGAGTTTGCCCAACCCAAGCCCTTTATGCCTGCTCAGCCTGTGGTTCAACTTACTGTGTCTTTTGCCTCGGCATCTAAAGCCTTGGTCTTGCTATCGCTCACTGAGATGCCAAGTGTTGCTCCCACTGAAGTCGAGAGGGTGACTCACGGGAGTGAAGCCATGTGGCTGCAAAAGCCTTTGTGGTGTGGGCAAGGAGCACGCCGGCCCACGGCATGCTGTGGAGGCAGCTGCTGAGCAGCATGGCGTGTATGCAAAGCAGCTTCCCCAGCTCAAACCTGACAACTGAAGGCACCGCGAGGTCTCCGGACCCTTGGCATATGCCTTACATTCTGGGTCACACGCTGAAATCCCTGCCACGAAGCAGTCGTGTGCGTGCTTTAGTCTTGCTGAAGTCAAAGGGAATTAAACACGCCTTCAAAGTTCAGCATGTGCTCCAGCACTCCTGTGTCCCGGAGGCACACGGTCATTGTGCTCTGCTGCTGCAGGGAGGTGCGTTTCTGCCTCACAACAGCTTTGAGACAGCAGCCATAGAGTCAAAGGCTCACAATAGCTGCTGCTGCATTTTAGCTGTGTTCGGAAGGGAGCACATTCCATCTGAATCTGTGTTCGGTTTTGCGCCTCTGAGCAGCGACTGCCCCAAAGCTCCCAAATTTTCAAAGAGTTACATGGGGATTTACCCAGCCAAATCCTATTATAATCAATAGGAGCCGGGTGAATAATTACACTGCAGTTCTTTGTAAATAACGAGGAAGGTTGCCACTTATTGCTGATTATGACGCTGACTTTTGTAGATATAGATCCACGAGTCTATTGGGAAATGCACTTAGACCACCAGGTTATTTCACTTATCGGTATAGTTTCAGTCTTTACTGTGCGTATCACTTCAAAGAACCAAGGTTGATGACTTCTGGTCCACTGTGTTAGCAGTCCGTCTCCTCTCCATCTCCTGTTGTTTCCTTTCACAATCTGAGTAACAAAAAATGGTGGTGTAAATAGAACTCCAACAAAGAGGTCTGTTGAGCCTGTAATGCTCCCCTGAAAGGAGGCTGTCTAGGGGATGAATGGAGCAGGCTCAGCCTAGCAGTAGCAGGGAAATAGATGACTTGGCATTGGAGAGTAGCAGCCAGCAGGGTGCATATGCCTAGTGTAGTGGCAAAGAATGGTTAAGCTAGTCAGTTGAAGGGCTAAATGAGAGGACATTGTCTAACCCTGCAACCGTAACTAAATTGTAACCTGAAAAGAGTTTATAAACATCTGGCTGCTAGCCCATCTCTAAAGCTTAATAGCTAAATCTGAGGTGCAGAATTTTTTAAGGCTGCAATTGAAATTATTACTTGGAAGTATCAGCGTCTTAAGGGGATTAATTGCATTTCAGGATTGTAGAGTGTATTACATTGTGGTTTGAGCATCTCTGCTGAGTTTTCACATTAAATTAGTTTCCACAAGATCAACATTTATGATTGATGCTGTTTCCATTTGGAAATAGACACTTGTTTGGAAACTCATTTTGGTTTCATGACATCTTGCTGCTGATTTTATAGCTCTGCTCAGTATTTCAT